CTTCCTCCTCCTCCTCCTCCTGCCCCTCCTCCTCTCCCCTTCCTCCCTCTTCGATCTTCAGGGCGAGAGCCACATTCTGAAAGCTGACCGCCCTCCTTTTGTGAAACTCTTGCGAACTCTTGCAGCGAATGTGCGCGGCGCTAATACGAGATCTATATTATGACCCTGCGTCCGCGAAGCTCTTGTGAATTTCAAGCTTCAGGATCTTACGTGGTGAATCATAAATGGTGAAATGGTGAGGAAGTCTCGGGCGAAGCGCCTTGCCAGCTATTTCTAAGAAGGAGGGATGGAGAGGAGGAGGATACGAGCAGAAAGATGGCTGAGGAGGAGGAGCAGCAACAGCAGTTGGTTCGCGAGAGGGGGGGAGGACGTTGTGATGCTCTGTAGGACGACGATGATATAGTGATGATGCGGCTGCTACTTCTGACTCACTGCTGCTGCTGATGATGATGACGACGATGATGATGATGCTGATGATGATGACGATGATGATGATGATGATGATGGTAATGATGATGATGCTGCTGCTGATGATGAGGATAATGCTACTTATGACGATTATATGATGATTGCACATGATGGTCATGGTGATGGTGATGGTGATGGTGATGGTGATGATGATGATGATGATGATGATGGTTGTGATGGGTGGTCGTGGTGGTGACGATGGCGATGATGGTGATGATGCTGGTGATGGTGATGCTGGTGGTGATGGTGATGCTAGTGGTCATGATGATGACGACGACGATGTTTGTGATGATGATTGTGCTGCTGCTGTTGCTGCTTCTGATTATGATGATGATGATGATGATGATGCTGATGATGATGATGATGATGATGATGATGATGATGATGATGATGATGATGATGATGATGATGATGATGATGATGATGATGATGATGCGGAAGAGGACGAGGAGGATAAGGATGAGGAAGGGGATGCGGACGACGACGAGAAGGATGATGATGGTTACGATGAGGATGAGGATGACGACGATGAGGATGGTTGTGTTGATGAGGAGGAGGAATGGTCGTTGTCTGTTGGCCTTTGGGGGGCGGGGGGGGGGCGTCCGCGGCCACAACGCGCTCCAGGACTCGTTCGTGGATCGCCCGGGTGGAGGAGACGTAGGAGGCGTAGGAGGACGCGATTCTGCGTCTGGCGGCAAGCAAGGCAGTGATCCAGCATCCTGTGCCGCCTGCCGTGGTGCCGCTGCCGCTCTTCCGTCGAGGACCAGGCCCGCGTGAGAACGCACCCCGGGCGTCACAGGCGCAGTGGGCCATGGGCCCGCGACGTCGGCGGCATTGGGCAAGACCCAGCGCCACGCGGACCAAGGCCCCCGCGCGCGCCCACCGAGGCGCCCCTTGCCCTTTTTCCTCCCTCCTCGCTTCTCATGTTGTGCTGGCACGAGTTGGGCCCTTCGCAGACATCCCAGAAATCTGGGGCCTTGGATCCGTTCTTCCGCGCCCTGCGCAACTCACTGCCAACAAAACCACCCCAGCCCAACCCGAAGGCCCTAACTTGCCCTCCATTCCCAGGGGGGGGGAACATCCCAGAACGTTGAAAAGCATGGGTGGAACCGTGGCCTCCACTCCGGCTCCGGCAGAAGCCGAGGCGCCGCCGGCGATGCACGCTGTGGGGCCCCTCCGGGTCAGCCTTGCCCACCCACTCTGGCTTGGGCTGCAAGGTGGTCCGCTTCCTCTGGCTGCTCTGCGGCCTCCTGGCCCGCCCCCCGGGGGCTCAGAGGCTGCTCGTGCGGCGCGCTGCTGGCAGCTGGGCAGGGCTCTCGCCCCGCTCGGCCCCCTCACGCTCTTGATCCAGCGCGTCGGGCGGGCCAGCTGCCCTGCAGACCTGGTCTGCAGCCGGGCCACCTCCATCAAAAGTCTGGAAAGCAAGGGCCTCCCGATTTCCCTCTTCTTCTCCTCTTCGAGTGGGAGCTTGGGAGCCCTGCTCGCCCAGCGCGTCCCCATGCGCGTCCTCGACGGCCACGGCGCGCCAGTCCTGCTTCTTCCCGCTCGCGCTCGGCCCTCTCGAGGCGGGCCGAGGCTGCCGAGCTCCGTGCGCCAGTGCCGCGGCCGCTCCTCCCGCAGCCTCGCCGCGGGCTGCGCTGCTCGCCGGGCCACCTCGGCGGACGACGGCTTCTGGTCTCTGCCCCGGCGTCGAGCGCCTCGGCCCTCCTGCCGGCCCGGGCGCCGTGGGCCCCTTGCAGGGCAGGCGCCCGCCGCGGCCCTGCCCCGCACGCAGCTCGAGAGGCCCCGCTGGACGACCGAGGGCTCGCTGGCGGCGCCCGCACGGGCGTCGGTGCTTCGTCGTCGGCCTCGCTCTCTTCGCGGCGCGCTTGCCTGTGCCCTGCCTGGCTGGCTCTCGCTCCACTCTCTCCCCCGGCGCCGTCGTCAGACGACATGCGCATGCGGCCGGGGGGCGGCTGGGCGCTCGCCCACCTCGGGCTCCAGCTGACCCGGTCGTCCTTGGCGAGCTGGGTGATCCAGAGGACGTGCTCGT